CGGTCCCTGTGCTTTGCTAAGCTTGTTCTAAGTAGGTGCTTTAGACCACTGAGCCATCTCACCAGCCCCAGGGACAAAGTTCTGAGATGAATGGAAATGATTATCCACAAAGGAAAGAGGAGTCAGCAGACTAGAAACTTAAAACAGTCCCACTTTTTTCACTGCCACATCATGATCAGTGCAGAGCCTGTCTGGGCACAGGGGATCCCACACTTTGGGCAGAAAGAGGTGGTCAGGCTGGAACATTTGTGAGGTCCCAGGATGGCATCACTCCTGTGATGACTCAGTTTTTCAGAATCACTGTAAGACTTGTCCCGTTTTCCTTCTCTTGGCCAAGCTTTACCAGGCCTTTGGGGCCATGCCAGTTGCTCAGGAGAGAGGGGAACTGAGTATACTGCTTCTCAGTCTGTGTTCTAGAGAGGGTCTTCATCTTTTTTTTTTTTTTTTTTTGGTGGAACCGGGGATTGAACTCAGGCCCTTGTGCTCACCAGAGAAGCACTTACTCCACTGAGCCATCTCCCCAGCCCCCAAGACTCTTCATCTTGATTGGGATTCTAATGTGCACTTAGAAGTCTGTGCAGTATGGACAAACTTGCTGAAGATATGGGAATGATTAAATGGTTCTGAGCTTGGGCTGGGAGAAATAACACTTATTTCTTTTCTGGATTATGAAGTGCTTCAATGTATTTTTTTAATCACTACTTCTGGCTCTTCTAAAGCTTTCTATGACACAAAAAGCAATGTAACTTCTTAGTACCTCCCAAAGCATGGTTGTGATGACATCAATAATTAAAGCAATGTTGGATCAATTTTGCTCTACAGAGGAATTTTTTTTGGGGGGGGCAATAAATGGTATGTCATGACAAGAAGTACATATTTAGAAGACCAAGATGGCAGGCACTCCAAGCGTGACCCCTCTATTACACATCGCCATCTTCAGTGCAGCCGCCTGGCTCACGGGCACCAGCATGTACAGTTAGTCAGGGTGAGAGTCTCACCAGCCAACCGCTAGTCTCAAAAACCTGCTGATGTCCCCCAGGATCACTGCCCCACCCATCTCGTACGTATAAATGCATGGCTTTGCCCCTGTCATGTTACTACAGAGGAATCTTGATCAAAATGCTGGTCAGGTTTTGGGGACCCATAGTTTGCCAATGTACAGTATACATATAATTAGGTGGTTCACAAGATTACTTTAGATATACCATGAAAATCATGAACTCTAAAGTATTACCTGGAGCTAGACAGATAATATAATAAAAGAAGCTTGGGCCTCTGAGATAGCTCAGCAGTGTAAGCATCTGCCTGGCAAACACAAGGTCCTGAGTTCGATCCTCAGTACCAAAAAAAAAACATTTTAAAAAAAGAAGAAAAGAAGATTCTAGGGAGTGGTAGGGTCTGTGGCACACTAGACAACATAACTCTATTAAAGGGGCATCTGCTTCTCAGCTCCAACTGGATGCTGCCATTTTTGCCAATTTGTTGTTGTCCTTCAACAGGATTCAGAAACTAGGACCTGTGTTTATGTATTTATATGTGTATATATGTGTTTGCATATGTACAATCCCTGTGTTCGTTTGTTTGCTTGTTTCTGGGGATTGAATCCAGGGTCTTTGCATTCAACTATGCTTTCAGCCCCCTTTACACATTTTTTGATTTTAAGAAGAGGTCTCATCAGGTCGCTAAATTGTTCAAACTGGGCTGGAACCTGTGTTTCTCCTGCCTTAGCCTCCCAGATTGCTGGGATGATAGGTAGATGTCACCACACCCAGATAAATCTCTGTATTTTTAAGTGGTTGAAAACAATTTCAAGTATAATCCACTTACAGGACCTTAATTTATACCCTCTGTGATGCCAGGATAACAGCTGACTTGTGATGAATTTTTCATGTATTTTAGAAAAATGTAAGCAGCATTTCCAACCAGTAAGTCTACAAACTTTGCAAACTTTTTGTCACTTAGGCTAGGGGAACTGCAATTGCCTTATCAAATACATTTATTTAGCTGTTTGAAGGAAACACATGAAGCAAAAGCAGTGGCTACAGATGTGGTGAGGCTGTGAAGTGGGTTCTTGAATGAGCGGCCTAGGGACATCATTGATCAGCTGATGCTTTGTGCCTGGATCTGGGCCTTTAGTTGGGCCATTCTGGCTGCCTGGATATCTCAAGTCAATTCAAAATGTTTACCTTTCATGCAGAAGAGCTGGAATTCGCACAGTGCCAGATCCAAGGAATAAGGTGATTGAGGATAAGCGATAGTGTTTTTACAAAATTGCCTTTCTGTCGCATGGCATTCAGCAGCAGCGTTCACTGCATTTGTGATCACACATTGAAAAGAGGACTTCCAGAGCTGCTTAAGAAGGTGGCAAGAATGATGGGCTAAGTGTGTTCAAAGAGGAAGGGGTTTTAGGGGAATTAGTGCCAATGTGCCTTTCACTGTAGTAATTATTTAAATTAAAAAAATTCACCTCATATAGAAACTGAGGCCCAGATTGGGAGTAGGAAGAGAAGGTTCCTTGAGACAGACAGGAGCAGAGTCAATGGCAAAAAGAGGGCTGGTCTGCGTCGGCCACTGACCAATAGGACAAAGCTGAGGTTCTATGAGGAGAAAGAGAGGTAAGGAAGAGTGAAATAGTCATCCCTCCTCCGCTTCAGAGCCTTGCAGCTGGCATGTTTTGCTGCCTGTCTCCTGACCTCTCCAATCCTTAGCCTGTTCCAGCACTCCTCTCTGGGGGCTCCTTTCTGGAAGCTCTCTGGCTTCTCACTGTACCCTTTAGCAGAAGCTCACTGAGTGTGGACAAATCTTATTCTGATGCACGCCTGCTCACAGAAGGCCTAAGCCATAGTGACATCCATGTTATCTTCCAAGGAAGGCAAAGCTCCTGCTGCATTCAGATGGATGCAGCTCCCAAAGCCCTGCCTCACAAATGGCACCCTGCGAGAGGGCCCAAGCTCCATCCTAGCCCCTGCCTCCCTTGGAGGTAAGTCCCCATATTTCCTCTTTCAAGCAGGTTAGGAGGGTGTGGTGCCTACATTCGTAGCTCTTTTGGTGGCCACGGGGTCCTCTCCACCATCAGCTCATAGAAGTGTGTGCCTTTCTGCTGTTCTCTGGGACTGACCCAGTCTACTGTGGCTGACAGGGATTTAAACACCACTGAGTGAGTTCTGCTAGGCTTGCGGCAAATTTCTCGGGACTTATTTGGCTTCTTAAGAACTAGTATGGCTGAGATGCTGTCCAGCCTGCAAGAGTTTCTTGGAATCTGGCCATTGGAGGTGGCTGTCTCTGAACTGAAGCAGATGATAGGTGGAATGGTGTTTTACCTTTTCTGTTTCAGTCCCATGGCTCTCAATCAGGGGCCAAGTGGCAGGGACAACAAATGGCATTCCTAGCAAAGAGGGGCAGCAGTGTTTAGTGCCACCTGGTCATTGTCAGTGCAAACATGGAGCCAGTGTTGTTGGGTGTTCTGATTTCTGAAGAGAAACTAGAATGCGGGTATTTGTGGGAAAGCTCACAGCTCATACATACTAGCAATTAGTTCAAATAAAACAGACTGCCCAGGGGCGGAAGGTAGCCCAGGGGCAACAGTTTGTTAATTCTGCTTTTAATCCTAACTTTGGCAACAAGTCTTCTGAGAGTGCCTACTTGCTCCTTCTTTTTCTCCACATCAGTTGCAGCCCGGGTGCTTCCTGGGCCCCCTTTCAGCTTGGCCCAGCTGGACTCCAGGGTTTTGGATTCTCAGTTCAGCTGATGGTCCACACTTCTTTCCATACTGTGGCATTTTCATCATGGGTACACGAGTGTGTATTTCTTCAGTACTGTCATTCCCTCTTAAGTGTAATTTCTCTTCCAGTGTAATTTTTGGGGTGTAGAAGGCTGGGAGATGGTGGTGAAAAGACCCAGTTTTTCAAAGGAGGTGAGTGGTGTTGAGTGGGATCCATGAGTGCCTGTTATGTGTGAGGTCTGCTAGAGCTTTGACCTTCAAATGCTAAATGGATTTTGAATCAAAATTCACTTTATGCTCCAGATAGGAAGTATTTAGCAGAGGAACCATCTCTTTTAAGTGTTGCTCAAAGTGCCCAGGCATGGGACCTGGGAGTCTGAGGGGACTTGCTGTGTGACGCCAAGTTTTCTAGGAAAGGGTGATTATGAAATTCCCTTTTGTGTTGTACTAGAGGATGTTCATATGGCACCTGAAATCATGTTTATGCTTTGTAACATAAGACTGAACCTCTTTTATTTTTAATGTTGGTCTGGTGATCAAACCAAGGGCTTTGTGCATGTTAGGTAAGGGATCTACTACTAAGCTACATTTCTAGCCCCAGGAAATACCAATTCATGTTGACTGCCAATCAGTTCCAAAAATCTTTGGATTAGAAAAACCCAGAGTGTGTTCTTATTGGGACAGATTGGGACAGATCTTGATGATAGCTTGTCATTTTGTTATTTAGTTTTTTTCCTGAGAATTGCTCTAATTTATTTAACCTTGTTCTTCTCATTACTGTTTTTTCTAAATGTAAGCTGATGCCTTTTGGTTTTACTTGGTGGTTGCTACCAACCACCAAGTAAAACCAAAGATGGATAAAAGCTCTCACCCGTATGGGCAGGTTTATAATTCTAGGATCCCTCATAAAGTACCATTGCAGCAGTAAAGTAGGGTGTGAGGATGGTCACTTTATCCTTCTCAGCTCCCATAATGTGGACTCATATGATTTTTTAAAAGAAAATGTGAAAAATATGAACGTTTTAAAGGTTGAAATGACATCTTTATGAAGACAACAATGAGAATAACAATATATAAAAATTATTGAGCATCTACTACATAGCAACTACTTCTAAGTAGTTAATTTTTTGTTTTTCTTTTTTGTTGGATGGTAGTTGAGATAGGGATTTGCTACATAGTTCAAGTTGGCCTTGAATTCATTGTGTAGCCCAGGTTGGCCTTAAACTCATGTCAACCTTTTCCCAGCTTCCCTGTGCTGGGATTACAGGCATGTACTACCACACCTGGCCTAAGTAGTTATCTATTTTAATCCTAATGAAAACTCTATGAGGATAGCATGATTCTCAGTCCCATTTTTCAGATGAAGAAACTGAGGCACAAAGAAGTAATTTACCCAAGGTTATGTAGCTGATATATTGCAAGGCTGGGATTCAAATTCTAATAGTTGGTAGTGGAGCTTGCGCACCTAATCATATGATGTACCGTTTATCAATGATTTAATGCAATGATAATGCTTTCCTGATGGTTTTTAAGTGTTTTTTTTTTTTAAGAAGAAAATATAATTTTCTTTCTTTTGTTTATGTACAAATTTAACAAAAAGTTAAGACTTTATGCTGGACTTCAGTGGAAAATAATTATGACATTTTCACCATGTATTTAATATGTAAATAAACTATATTTATATCTGACATACCCATATGTTCAGGTATCTGGCTATTTACAGAGAAGGTGACATACACAGTAAATTAGGTCATATGCCACTTAATCAAACTTTGCTGGGAAGATAGCTCAGTGGCTTAAATTCAAGCCATTGCACTGTTTAATCCCCGGTATGGAAAAAAAAGATACTTTGTGGCCATGTCTTTGTTCAGTCCATACTATTTACTTAGTTAAAACAAATGGTTTGAATGTTGGAGAAAACAAATAAACATACATATACTCTGAGTATATTTAAGGCAACACTTGAGCTGACTCATCAGAGTTGTTTTGGGGGTTGAACTCAGACCCTTGCACTTGCCAGGGAAGCACTTATTCCACTGAACCATCTCCCCGGCCCTGAGCTGACTCATCAGAAAAGGGCAGAACAGTCTTGCTGAACTCAAGTGACCAGGGCTTCAGAGGGCCTGTGTTTGGACTGTAGGGTGGACAGAAAAGTCTATTCTAAGCCACTAACTAAAGACACTCAATGATCAGATGCTCAGTACCAACTGTAAGGTCAGAGAGAGCAGAGCCTACTGCCTAGTGAGCTTAAGGGGTAGCATCAGCAATTTTTTTTTCTTTTACTAGAGTTTGAACCCAAGGTTTTCCCAATTAGCTACATCCCTAACCATTGTGTGTGTGTGTGTGTGTGTGTGTGTGTGTGTGTGTGTGTTTTTAATTTTGAGACAAGATCTCTCTAAATTGCTACATTTTTAAGGCTGCAAGAAGCTGAGGCAAGATGAGCACTGTGAGTTTGAGGCCAGCCTGGACTGCATAGTGTATTAAAGGCCAATGTCGGTTACAAACTGAGTGCAATCCCAGCCTGAACTAAAAAGTGAGACCATCTTAAAGAACCAAAAGAAGAAGGAGAAGGAGAAGAAGCAAATAAAAGCAAAATTTCTGTGCTGACTCAACTTGCCATCATCTTGCCTCAGCCTCACAGGGTGCTGGCATTGTAGGCAGTCATCCCTGTACCCAACTGGCATTTTTTACTTCTGCCTTTCTTCTTCCTTTACACAAGCTGGAGATGCAGCATAGCCTTGAAATGAACTTCCAGATATTGTATAATGGGTGGACAGGGGGAAAAGCTTCTCACCAAATGTGTGTGAAGTTGGATGTGGTAGGACATATCTGTAATCCCAGCACTCTGGAAAGCTGAGGCAGAAAGAATACAAGTTTGACCCCTGTCTAGGCAATTTAGCAATTTCAGGAGATTCAGTCTCAAAATCAAAAAGACTGGGATATATGTATAGCTCAGGGAGGAGACCCTGGGCTTAATTCCCATTATAGACGTAGGGAGGGATGAGCATGAAAAGAATAGGATATGTAACTGTACATGGTTTAAGTTTAATTTTGTTAAGAGAAAAAGGGTATTTCTAAATATGCATACGAATGAGGCAAAACTCTACTAAATGTCCTTTTAAAAGCTAATACTTGAGGCTGGAATAGGCCTTTTCCAATGAAACTAAATATTGTATTATGATGTCCTCTTTTCCAAAATCCAGGGAAAGAACTTCTTTGTAGATCCCAAAGAGACTTGGTGTGACTCTGTTCTGTGCTCAAAGAAGCACTGGTCCTGTGGTCTCCTGGGGGTCCTATGCATTGTCCCAATGGGAATTTATAATCAACTCCCCAGAGCCTGAATTTCTACAGAACATCTGAGCTACGACAAGGTGGCAAAGGGAAGGGAGTACTGTTATTCTCGCGATTGTATGTATGGCCTTTTCCATAAGATTTGTTTTCTTTTCCATAGGGTTTTAAGTTTTTCCCTTGAAAAGGATTTAATTATTTAGCTTCCCTGGCAAGCTCAAGGGCCTGAGTTCAATTCCCGGTTCCGCAAAAAAAAAAAAAAAAAAAAAAAAAAAAAAAGAAGAAGAAGAAGAAGAAGAAGAAGTAATTAAAATAAACAAAGAATGGTCTGTCTTAACTCTTCTTTCATTGAACTGAAACCTGCTTGAAGTCATTATCAAGTTCAAGTGAGAATTGAAGCGAGGGCTCTGGAAAGGCAGGACAGTCTTCTTAGTCCACCCTCTGCCTCCATCCTTAGGTCCTGGCAGGGGTGTGGCATTCCTGTTTGTCTGAGCAAAACTAGTTATGGTCTCTTCTCCCTCCTGATGGTAAAGAGCTGTTTGTTTTTTCCCACCTGCCCGCAGGATCATCAGGACGAAAGTACAGCAGCCCCCCAACCAGCCAGTCCCAGCTTCCAGTCACAGCATAGGTAAGAAAAACTTTTTTTAAAAAAATTTGAAAATCTAATGGGCTCTGGTATATTCTAAAGAACTTTTAATCATTCATATGGACAGATAATTTTGCATAAAACACTTCGGCACACGTACTAATGCGCCTTCTTTGTCATTCTCCAAGGGCTGAACCCAGTAAATGAATTTTATAAATACTGCTAAAAGGTTTTGAATTTTACTGATTATTATGATAAATAGCTTTCACCATGAGACAGAAAATTGAAATCTAAGCCAAAAAAAAAAAAAAAATCCACTAATGGGGGTCTATAGAATGTCAGATAATTAAAGTAATAAATCAAGAAAGGGATACTTATTCATAACATTTTCTGCATCATTAGTCAGTAAGTAGTTTTGAATGTGTTTTTTTCTTCTATCAACCAGACCTTCTACAATTCTTTGTGCACTTGCAGTCTTGAGTGAAGATGAGGCAAAACTTCCCAAACTTTCTTTCTCTCTTTCTCTTGCTTCGATCTCGTGTACTTTGTGAATTATCAAGGGCTCCCAGTGGGGTTTCTGATGCTCAGGGGTGAAGTCTGAGCGACCAAGACTTGCTAATAAATGTAAACCTGCCCAGTAGTGAACACTAAGCTCCTCCCCCGCTACTCAGGAGTACACACATTTTCTTTGCCTCCTCTTCAAAATGACATGCGTCTCTTTAAGGTAGATTGTTTCTCCATTTGGGGCAAAGGAAACACCCCTGACTAGCTGGGCTGGGAGAGAGTTACTGCACCGCAAGAAAATAGATAACCCTTTAGCAAGCCTATAACAGTTCTGGTGAATCTGTCTAATCACACTTCAGATTGTGTGTACCTTCATCAGTTTCTTTAACTAAAAACATGAATTTCCTATGATGGTGGGGGAATTGGTGAAGGCTGCCTCATAGTTCCATTTCTGTGGATTGTGAAAACCCCATTATCTCTCTGAGCCTCAGTTTTCTCCTTGATGGACAGAGAGCATAAACCAAGTACTCTTGAGATCTCTGATCCTCCAAGCTTGCTTCTTCTAATAAAGGTAGGAGGGAATTCCTTGCTGCCATGAAAGGATTCTTCATTAAGTAATGCTTTTGGAAAACGTTTGCTAACCTACACTGGGCAGACATGGTGGCATTGGAAACCAGTTCTACAAATGAGGCTAGACAAATCCCTGTCCTCACTGGCCTCTGAGTCTGTGGAGAGGATGTTAGGAAGAGCCATTTGCAAAACACTGAGATGAAGTCCAAGAAGAAAGTGTGAGTGCTGAGAAGCAGAAAGGAGGGAACCACCAGTTAAACTGAGCTGGGGTGAAAGGGCTGAGGAAGACTTCCTGGGGTTGCTATTTGTGGCTGGGATTTCATTTGTGGCTTTAACTGTTTCAGGCCCCATATCAATGAAAATCAGACTAGCGGTTGATACTGTTTTTTTTTAATAGTATCATTAGTCAATAACTCTTTAAGGGTCAGCAGGACAATTTGCTTTACCTCAGATTTTCTTTTCCAATACTGGAGATTTAACCCAGGGTCTTTGCACTGAGTTACATCCTCAACCCTTTTTATTTGTTTATTTGTTTGTTTGCTTATTTACTTATTTATTTAGACAGGATCTCAATAAGTCACTAAGTTGCCCAGGCTGAACTCTCTGCAATCCTTCCTCAGCCATCCAGAATGCAAGGACTATATGTGTACACTCTCATGCCTAGCTCTCAGAAAGTTTTAGTAAAGCTATATAGCCATATACACAGCCCCGTAGAGCCAATGAACTTATTGAGCAGTGAGGAAAATGATACTTAGGGAGATGATATAAATAGTTTAAGATCCTGTTTCCAGGTAGGGGTTTGGAGCTAGAAATGGAAGCTGGGTCTTCTGAATCCAGTGCAGCCACGAAACACCTAACCAGGTGCCCTCAGCGCCATCAAGGCTGTGGCGGGCCAGGCTTGCTGGTGGCTGTTGCTGTCTGAAGTGCCAAGTGATCCTCTTCCTCTGTTCTTTTCATGTGAACATAGAAAAGGTGGTGAGATTTGCATACATCTATTTTGAGAAGCTTTTTCTGTGAAGGAAAAGAGAAGTTAACGATTTCTTCTGTATCTCTGAAGGAAGATCTAAGGTCAAACTCAGATGCAAGAAGAAAGGCATTATGCCCTCTAGGTCTTTTGGAGGGAGACCCTGGAGTGGTCTAAGGAATGTTAACAGCCTCTCATGCAGTCACCACCACTGCTAGTAATTCTCTACACTTCAGAATGCAGGGCAGCCCCACCCACTTCCAGCCCCTTATAGTCTAAGGTGGCACTTCTGAGATTTGCAGGTAGGTTTTAATGAAGCAAGAAAGAATTTCCACAGCCCTGAAATGGAACCCAGCTGCCAGCTGGAGAGGACCTTGATTGAAGACTACTTTCTCTTAGACTCCAGATGTGAGTCAATGCGGAACTTGTCTAAAATTCCCCTCCCCCTTTCTTGTCCTTAGGGACTTAGAGACCTGGCCTCAGGCACTTCTCCTACAAGCCGGAGGCAGATAATGACCTGAGGCTACTAAGTTCAGGTGCTGTGGTTTACTGGCTGGGTGACTTTGAATCACTTCATCTTGTGGAGCCTCAGTTTCCTCATTTGATAAGTGGGGAAAAGTACTAGTCCTCTGGACTATTCAATTATCAAATGAAACATATTACAGTAACAAAGCATATTATTGTTCTTACAAACTAGGGGAAAGCAGATTAATTATAGCAGTGAAGACTTTATCACTAGGTTTCCATCCTCTCTCTCTCTCTCTCTCTCTCTCTCTCTCTCTCTCTCTCTCTCTATATATATATATATATATATATATATATATATATATATATATTTTTTTTTTTTTTTAATTTTTGGGACAAGTTCTTGCCCGAAGTTGGCCAGGCTAATCTCCAACTTGGAGTCCTCCCACCTCAGTCTCCAGAGTAGCTGGGATTACAGGCCCACTGTGTCTCTTATTAACTGTGTGACCTTGGGTGAGTCACTTGTCTTCTCTGATCTTGGCTTCCCTTCCCTTTCCGAAGGAGTAATGACATCATCTAGTTTGTAAGGTTCTTCTCAGAATTAAATGAGGGAATACCTCAATGCCTGGCGTAGAATGTTCTCAGACAACATTAGGTATTGGATTATAATTAATATAAAAAATAAACTCCAAGTAAGCTGGAAGAAGAGATAGTAAGGAATTATAAAAAGACAGGCAACTACTGTTCCGTTGACTGTGAGAGAGTTGTGTGCAGGTATTTGTCTGTGTGCGTGATGGGCTCGTAAGCAGGACTGAATGCATCTCAAGAGCAGGTCTCCATCTCTTTATAGCACCTCTTTCACTTCTCCATTTCCTGCTTCCTGTATCCTGTATCCTGGGCCAGCTGGATTTGAGCAGGTGCCTTCCACTCCATCCTTGAGTTCCCTTCTGTAGGGTCAGTCTCCCCTGATGCTCATATTCCCATCACCTCCCCTGAAGCACAGAACCTGAGCTTGTGCAATGATTGTGCAAGTGGCCGAGGCTTGTGCAAGGATTGCCAAATGCCAAAGATTTCCAGGCTAGCACTCTTGCTTTTGCTACAGTTGCCCTCAGCCCAGAGCACGGCACGCACCTTTGCGACAGGTTGCCTGTGCCTTCCACCCTTCAGCATTTGCTGGCCCTGACCACCCCTCTCCCTCTGTGCAGTGTCCACGGGCTCCGTGACACAAGTGTCGTCGGTGAGCACGGATTCAGCTGGCTCTTCCTACTCCATCAGTGGCATCCTGGGTATCACGTCCCCCAGTGCCGATACCAATAAGCGCAAGAGAGATGAAGGTAAGAGACGGCCATGTGGCCACATCGTGGATGGACCCCATAGATGGGATCTATTTGGGATACTCAGTGCTAGTGGAAGCCAACGTGCTTACCCATCATTCCTTTATCTGCAGAGGACCACAGTCCCCCACCCCTTGTCCTTTCCAGTGTACCAGGAAGGGCCGAGCTCTGAGAGAATGGGCTGCTTGCTAGTCTCTTATGTTTTCTTTGGGTGGTCTTTAAGACCTGTGTGTACAGATAGGACACCTGAAATCACAGCCTGTAGCTGGCCTGTGCACAGCACAAGTGTCCCCTTTTTGGGAACCATGGAGACAAGAAAGGGGGGCTGGGCGAAGCATCCACCAGCCTGACGTGCAGTGAGAGGAGCACCTGCTGGGGGTAAAGGAGTGGCTTCTCTGAGGGGCTGGGCATACGTCTCAGGAGGAGGTCTTCTGTTGTAGTGATGGTAGTGGGTAGAGGAAACCAATAATCATCTCATTTTTGCCTTTGGGCTTGGAAGGAAGAGGTACAGGGGCCTCTAAGGGGTTAAAGATGACAATCTTCCCAGTTGGTTTTTCTCAGCACTTTGGTTCCCCTGCACTGCCTGGGCCTCTGGAGCCTGTTAGCTCTATGCTAGACACATCCCACCTTAACCCAGGTCTCCTTCCTCTAGATGGGCTGCCAGTGTGGCTGACATTAATCGGTTTGAGAGGAGAAACGACCCCCTGGGAGTCTGTAAAACCTTAGTCAGGAAAGGAAAAAGAAAAAAAGGGCTGTGGTTGAGGGCCTGAGAGCAGCATGACAGAAATCTTGATTCAATTATTCTGTTCCTCGGCACAATTCCCACTCTCAGCTCTGTGTAAGGGATGCATGTTCTCGTGAGCACATGCCAAAGTACTTAAGATCTGTAACTAGAAAATTGAGTCAGCCCACGGTGGATCTGTCTGTGGTCTGTGTGTTCCAGGCAGCGTAGAAGCTGGGGCTTTGGCCTCTGCTTGCAGCTGTGGGGGTGCGCGTGATGATTCATGGCTTGTGAAACCTCCCTCACTTCTCTTCCCCTGCTCCCAACATCCCAAGCAGATGTCAGAAGTCTTTAACTCGGTGGGCCGCTGAGCTGGGTTGCTGTGGGAGGCAGTGGGCCTGCCATCTCTGTTGGTTTATGGGGTTGATGATATCATCCTTTTTCCTTTTATCACCGGGACTTGCAGCAGATGGGCCAAGCAGGGGTCTGGCTATGTTTGATCACAGTGGAGTGATGGTTTGTGTGAGATGGGGGAGAAAACAAAAACAAAAAAATATAGTTTTGCTCAGTGTGATGGTGTGTGTCTTTAATTCCAAACTTTTGGGAGGCTGAGGCAGGAGGATTACAAGTTCCAACCCAGTCTGAGCAATTTAGCAAAACCCTGTGTCAAAATAAGAAATAAAATGGCTGGTGATATAGCTCAGTGGTGGAATGCCCCTGGGTTCAATCCCTAGCTAGTACTGAGGGAACAAAACAAAAAAAACAAAAAAATACAGTGTTGGCCAGAGACAGGTCCTGGTTTAGGGGACTACTTATGGTGTTTGTGGAAAACAGTACTGGCTTAGTCTCTGATCAATGTTCACTATTTGGCCTCTTAAGCTGCTTTATTTATTTATTTATAGGTGGGGCTCTTGCTATGAATTCTCAGGCAGGCCTCAAACTCGAGGATTTAGCTTTCTAAGTGCTGGAATTACAGGCATGTGCACCGTGGCTGGCTTTCAAGCTGTTCTTAAATACGTAAAATAGTCACAACATGGTTGGTATTTGTCTTGGCTACTCTCTGCTGGTCATCTCCTTCTCTGGGGACTGTGGTCCATTTCGGGTACTGATGTTTAAAAGGGACAGTGACAAACTGGGGTGTGTTCAGGTGAGCACAACCTGAGTGGAAAGAGATCTAGGTACAGCACCTAGGGGACATCTCCAGGCTCCAGGCATGTTTAGTGCAAAGAAGAGCAGAATAAATAGACTAGAGTATTGCCTTGTACAGATAGGTATGGAAGGAGAGAGGCTTGAGGCTTTGTCACAAGGCCTGAAGGGCCAGTGCATGACAGATGCAGAGGTTTCAGCTCACTGTAAGAATCTGTACACATAAAAGTGGTCTAGGGATAACAGGTTACATGGGGAGGTAGTGAGTGCCACATCTCTAGGAGTATGTAAACAGACCAATGGCACTTGCCCAGGCTGCTATACAAGAGTATCTAGAATGAGATGCAGAACTGGATAAATTTTGCAGCCTTCCCGTTCTGAAATTTTTGGTAGAGTTCTAATCCCCAGGAAGACAGGGAGGTACTCTGGTCTGAGCCCTGTCAGATAATGGAGAATGCCTCAGGGTTCATGGAGCTCACAGGATGGAGCAGAAAGGGGAGCCAAGCAGCAGCGAGAGCCTCCCCCTCACTCCTGCCTCCTTACCAAGAGGGCAGATAGCTCACATCAGGAAGTGTCTGGGGAGAATGGCATCCTGTCTCTCCTGTCCTTCCGTTCTCCTTTGTATCTCCTTGGGTCCCTGCGCTGGCTCTTCAGGGAGATGAAGGGGCTAAGATTTCCACTCTCGATTTTTTAGGGTAAGTAATCGAGGTCCCATAGTTCTGTGACACTGGCAAAGCTGTGCAGCTGGTGTGGACTGGGAGTTGGGAGGAGTGGAGGGCTCCTGAGGCCTCTGTCCCCTGTATGTCCAGCTGTCTGTGGCTCCTTAGCCCCTCCAGGCTCTTTGGAGGTGGACCACAGAGAGATGGGGCAGAATTTTAGCAGAAGGGCTCAGTGATTAGGTTGGATGCCTTCTGGGGGGTAGTGAGGTGAGATATGGAGGTTAGGGATTTGAGGAGCACAGAGGAGGTGAGTACCAGCCACTGGGGGACACAGAATGGCAGGCTATACTAGCAACTGAACTGATGAAGACCATAGATTTGTGAGGGTGCTGGCTTCCAGGATGGTAGCATTTTTTTTTTTCAGGAGCCCTCAGCAGCCTGAGGGATAAATCATGGGGTGACAGAGGTGTTAGAAAGCCAAGAGGAAAAGAGGAAGACAGCTGAGTTTCACCACATCTCTGATAAGGTGACAGATGAGATGGCTGAGGTTTTACAAGGCAGAGCCGCCTGTTCAACTCCCTGGTGAGTGGTCATCTCTGGTTGGTCTTGGTTTTTGCCCAGGGGAATTCCCTGGGGCCATTTTGCAGAGTGGACCCTGTCACTGCCCACTCCTGCACTGAGGTCTGCAAATCCAGATTCTCTCTGATGAGTAGTGAGAGAGGACAGGTAGGGGGAAGCCACTTTTGATCAAAAGGATCTGAGATGGCTCCTCATAAGAGGTGGCATTAGAGGATAGGGTAGAGGGAGGTAATAGGACTCCAATCAATTCTTGGAAATGCAGTATTGTAAGCTGAACTAAATTCAGAAATTTTAAATCTTTAAATATTTATGGCCTACGCCTTTCTACTTTGAGAATTCTAATTATATGAATATAAGTTTCTTGGTTTTGACACAGTGAACTATTATGACTGTAATTCTCTTTTTTTTTTTTTTTTTTTTTTTTGGTAGTACCAGGGATCAAACTCAGGACCTTGCATTTGGTAGGCAAGTACTTATTCTGCTGAGCTATCTCTCCAGCCCCATGACTGTAATTCTTTATCTGTAAATTCTTTCTTCATTTTTATTTTGGACAATTTTTATTGTTATATTCATTTATGTTTGTAAATAATTTATTTTTAATTTGCAATCCATTAAAAAATTAAAATAAATAAATAATTTTTTTTTTTAAAAAAGGACTCCAATCAAAGACAAGAGAGTGGGCACATGGGAGGGACCAACATGAAGGGCTCAGAAGGAAGAGAGGTGGCAAGGGAGGCCAGAGTGGCTTGGCACTGACACCAGCCCTGACTTTTAGTCTGAAAGTGGTGGGGAGATGGCTTTGATAATTTTCAGAGACTCAAGAGACATGGGTTGTGGCCAGGCAGGGTGTCATAGTCCTTTAATCCCAGGTACTTGGGAGGCTGAGCCAGGAGGATTGGAAGCTTGAGGCCAACTTAGTGAGACTATGGCTGAAAATAAAAAGGGGCAGGGAGTAGCTCAGTGGTAGAGTGTCCTGGCTTAGATCCTGAGTACTGAGAGCAAAAGATGAGAAACCCATGGCTTGTTGGGTAATTTGGCTATTAGGATGGGTTTGAAAGTGATTAGCTGAGAACTATCCAATAGAATTAGGATGTCAGGGAGATGGCTCAGTGGAATAAGTGCTTCCCTGGCAAGGGCAAGGGTCTGAGTTCAATCCCCAGTTCCACCAAAAAAAAAAAAAAAAAAAGAAAGAAACAGGATGTAAGTGCCATGTGTAATGTAAAATTTTCTAGGAACTATATTAAAGGAAGCAAGAAAAAACAAGTGGAATTAATTTTAAGAATAAATTTTGTTTAGTCCAATATATCCCCAAAACATTGTCATTTCAATGTGTAATCAATATAAAAGATGATATGATTTTTCTTTTTCTGGTACTAAGTCTCTGACATATGTATGTATCACACTCGTAACACATCTGAATTTTTTTTTTTTTTTTTTTTTTTTTTGTGGAACCCAGGATTGAACTCAGGCCCTTATTCTACTGAGCCATCTCCCCGACCCTCACACATCTGAATTTGAATGCTAAACATTTGACAGTTGAAGTTAAATGTAGTCAGTCCTATCAAAACAAAGTTGTGGTTAGTGGAAAAATATTTTTTATGGCTTCTGTTTTTAAATTTAAATTGGTTACAGTGAAATGAAATGAAATGAAAGTTTTAGTTCCTCAGTTGCAGTAAGCCCCACTTCAAATGTTCAATAGCCACTACAGACTAATGGCTACTGCATTAGACAATACTGAGTTCATAGTAGGTGATCAATGAATGCTCCTTGGTGGAATGGGTCCTGGTCATGCTTTTAGAGGTTTACAGTTAGTGGGGAGAGTGAATACGGGGCTTCCAGTCCACAGAAAGTCTCATCGAAGATTTCTACAGCACGAACAAGCTAGAATACTGTCA